CATCAAATCTGCTAAGCTGTAGTTTGATTTTCCGCCTCTCGTTTCCATTTTTCTTTTTGTCCCACTCTCTGACACTAATTTGTTACGCCTCCAGTCGTTACTTAATTTTCCGTAAATTCGTTTCGACGAAACTTTAGCGACACAAGTCCTTTCTTAAATAAAACTGGTTTATCTTTCCGAATACAACTTTACCGATACACTTAATTTCAACAGTCGCTCTATAACAAACGCTAGAACGTCTCACATGCTCGTGCTCGACAATACTCAATTACACACTCTCTGACTGTAGTTCAATTACTCATTACATACACACTGTCCCGTCACGTTGTGACCATCTTATATATACCAGACTACCCCCAATCTAGTAATCTCCCGACAATTCACGAAGGTTCGAGAAAGAAGTGGCATGATACTAGTCACGTGACCTCGCTGACGCAACAATATATATAAAATCTAAAAAAAAAAGTTTTCATATCCTCCGCGTGCAAAATTTTTAAAAGCTTAGCAACCTTTATCAAGCAGCAACCGAGTACAAAGGTCATAACTAGAAGAGATAATTGTTTGTTTCACTTGTTTATTTACACTTCTATGTTTTATGAAAAATGGGTTTAAAAACGTATTTCAAAATAGCAATAATCTATATACATATATAATGTATGATAATTGAAATGTGACTGTATTTTACAAAATACTAGTCAAATAAAACACAGCCAAAACAAGTTACTTTTTACAGACCAAAGGTCAGTTTGATGTTATTAATATGGTAACATGAGTGCACGTGAGCCGCGTCATTGTAACTTCTGTATTGTTAGCCAGTGTCATGATATAAAATACTGTTTGGTTTAGATATTAGTGATTAATTTATATTTGTAAGTGAATACTTTATTACTTTTAAGTTTTATTATAATAAGAGTTAAAAGCAGACAATTGTAGAAGGTTTTGTTAATAACTAATTGGTGTCAAGAATATAGAAAGTGTCCAGATGACTATGTAATAAAGATATAGATAGCGTTAGATGATTGGGAAACAGCAGATGGACAGTATTAGACAGATAAAAACAAAGAGAATATAGTTGGTGTGAAGTTAAATAATGTAAAAGTGATAGGCCTAACGTTTAATATGTTAGAGTGAAACTAACAGTACAAAAAAAGATGAGGAGAATTTTATTCTGTCAAAGCGTGGTTCTAAAGTAATTGAATCAGCCTGGGTACACTTTGACAAAAGGAACAGAGGATCTTCAGGAGAAAGAAGACCAAGTGAATTACATTAACTTGCACCACAACTGTAAGTGAATCAGACAGAGAATACAAGTACGATAATAATATAGATTAATTGAATAGACCTTAGTGGACTTTTAACAAGAAGAAGAGAACTATATATAAATAGTTTTTATGATATGCCTGTAATTTCTATAGTTAGATATTTTGCGTATGAAAGCATTGTAATATTTACTGATAATCTGCCAAATTTCATTAACATTCTTATACTAATTTAAATGTTATAGCATGAAAACTATAACAAGCGCAAAATGGTTACAAGGTCGTCACATTGACCAGCCCGTATTGAAAAAGTTAATATGCCCATTTCAGACTGTACTGACCCTACCATCCCTTTAACTGAATAAATTGGGGGTGGTCTGCTTTTCAATATAGGATTGTTATGGTCACCCATTGCACAGTCTCCAGTGTTGGCATTCCTTCATACTCTCCACTGCATTTTCTCCCCCATTGTTCTTCTAGTGGGGTATGCAAGTCCATGCTACTTTCCAGTTCCAAGCTGCTGGGGTGGTGGACCTTTGAGGAATCCTCCTGAATGTGTTTGCTTCCATTTAGTAGAGAGTAGAGCAGTGGTGTTCTGCTGGTGTGTATGGCATGAGACCCACGAATCATGTGCTCCACTTCTGGGAGGTTCATGTTGCATGCAGCTTCTGTGTGGTTCTATCTTGAGGGTGAGATTGCTTATATTTTATAGATGCAATCCACTTCTGTGCAGTGGGACCTGGAGGTTGCTATTGGGCTCCAGCCTTTGTGTGGTCCTATCCAGAGGATGATTTTGCTTTGGAGTAGATTTGTAATATTGCAGTTCAACCCTTCGATTGGAACTCCTCGTCCTATCTGTGGTTCTATCTGGAGAGTGAGTTTGCTATATATTTCTAGAGCTGATCCACTTCTGTACAGTGGGACCTGGAGGGTGGTGGTGTGCTCTGGCTTCAGTGCAGTCCTATCCCGTGGATGATGTTGATAGGGGTAATTGTTCTTCACCTTGCACTCCACCTCTTGGTGTTTTCACTTCCTGAGGTTGATACTGTGCAGTGGGGTGCCAGTCTTATTGAGTTTGATGTGAAACTCCCACATGGGCACAGTATATTCTTCCATTATGCTTACCTTGAGGTGAAGAAGGGTCGGAGGTTCTATTCCCAATACCACATGGTTTTAGCCACTCTACACCTTGGAGCACTTCCATTTTCACTTTTCCCACATCTGCAGATGGTTCTTCTACTGTCTTTCTTCTATCAGATTGAGCTTGCGATACATAGTGATTCGGACTCAGACACAACCAGTTGTCTCTCCTTTTTTGGTTGTGTTCCTTCTACTTTCTGCCCGTGTATGTGACACCTCTTTCCACACTGGGCACAGAGTATACCTGGTACAGTGTGGTCTCACACGTGTGCTCCTCTCCCAGTGGGGATCACACTTCATCAAAGTTCTTCGGATGTTATCAAAGGATACTTATTTTCTGTCTCTAGCACTAGTCCCTCCACCTATTCAATGTGTGATTCTACCTATACATGTGAAAGGAAGGAATGTACTGTGTCAGAAGTTATTTTCCTATACTGAAATATATTTCTGATATGTGTTTACCTCCTTTCACACTTCCCACCGTAGTAACACACTATTAACATGTCATGTTTACCAACTATTAGAAATCCTGATGACAGAAACAATGATTTTCATTTTTTTTTTAGTATTATTGAATCCAACATTAAAGTAGTAAACCAGGTTCTTGAAGCATTGCAAATGGGGTTTATTTAAAATGGTAGTAAACAGCATCAGTTGTTACACATTAATCATTAATTAGTTATTTTGTTGATCATAAGCTGGTTGTGTAATTTTGAAAGGTAAATTTTATACTTCTTTGTAGGTTACAATGTGTCCTTAGTTTTTGACTTGGAAAATATACCAGAAGACTACCAAGATATTATTCAAAAAGCTGGTCTCTTGAAAAGAAACTGCTTTGCTTCTGTTTTTGAAAAATATTTTGAATTCCAAGAAAAGGGAGAAGAAGGGCACAAGAGAGCTGTTATACATTATAGAGATGATGAAACTATGTGAGTTTTTTGTTTTTTTTTAATTATTCCATTTTTTTTTTATCTGCTTGATGTCAATCATGAATGGAATTCTTATTTCTATAATGAAAAATCAGATTTATCCAGAAATAATGCAAAATCACTTTCAGTCTGATATCAACAGCATCTGATTAACTACCACACTTTTACTTTGGTTTTGTAAATATTTTATGTTGTATTAATATTAGTTTATTAAGATGAAAATGTAACAGTAAAACAAATTTTGATAGTTGTGTTTGTCATATGTCTTTGTTTAGAACTATGTCATAGTGAATCTTCTTTTTTTTGTAATCTTGGGTTGATAGCACTGAATGGCTGCTTTATTGGGATCTTGTCCCATATTTATAGAATTCTATATGCAAATGAAACAGATAATTTAATTGAGCCTCTTAATGTAGAGTTGTATCATTGTTAACTCTTTCTATATAGGAATACTTTTCTGTGCATGTCATGAGGTTTACTAAGTTATGTTCAAAATTTAATTAAAGTACTGTATTATCATGGTATATGAATAAAATTAGCAAACAAATGTATCCAATAATTCAAATTTTAATAATATACAAGTTACAAATTCTTCGATTTGTAAAGCAATATATAAAAAAATCCTCTGTCCCCTAGAATGAGAATTGTGACATTTGCTTTCTAGGTATCCCCTCTTCTTTAATTTATTTACCACTTCCCCGAGAAAAAAAAATGTAACATGACTTACTCATAATAACATTTTCATCGCTTAGGCAAAGCATAATATTTATAAACTTCAAAGTTATTTAGTTACAAAGTCGTAAACTAGAAAATCAGACCCTTCTTCCCACACCAACTTGTCCAAATTGCCAATAGTTTCTCTAGCTTTTAATACTATATTATTTATAACTAATAGAAATCTAAAATTTCCTTTATTTAATCTCTAAAACCTTCTAAATGCATTTCAAACCTTTTTTTTTCAGTAAAACATTATAGTTTATCTGTTATTTTTCTACCCTATCTCAAAATGGGATCGGTCAATTTGACCAACCTCGTAACCACCAAAAAAAATTGAAATAAACCTAAATTAACCTTTTTTTACTTTCTAGAATGACTTCAGATTTTAGTTACTTTTATAATAATAATAATAAAGAATAAATATGAAAAACAAGAAATAAAGTATTTACCCAATCTTCTTTTTTTCTTGCCCTCAATTGCCCAGGAGAGTTAAGCCTGATTTTTTATAGTAATGTACTTTAACAATTTTTATTTAATTAAATAATGTGTCAAAGAATATAGACTAATAACATGCAAAAAATAGACAAATTCCCTTTACTCTCAAAATTTTCCTGGCTTTCTAACTATGCAACCAGAGCCATTACAAATTCATCCAAGCTAATTGTTAACTTTCCCACGAGAATGAATCTTGTACTGTGAGTGAAATTGATGATATTCTTTTCAGAGTACAACATTATACAATACGTCCTTTGATAGATGAAAACCTTGACTTTTTATTGGTTATAGGTAAAATATAATGAAACGTAAGAGAGAACTATCGATGAATTATGAAAGAGAGAATGTGACAGGTGGGTGTGGCAGGAGGGGGCTGATTTTCTATTCAATAGCTCTGTAACCAAACAAAATTGAAGACTATAAAAATTATGGTTTGTTTGAGTGTTTTGTAGAGAGTATTTTATGTTTAATTTTATACATTTGTGAGGGGTGATGGATAGAATAGGGATGATGACATGCTAAGAGAAAATGTGTCATGTGGGTCACACAAGTGGAAATTCAGGATATTTAAGAATATGTCTTTGTAGAATTTAAAACTTAAAACTTGTATACTATTAAAATATGGATTATTAGCTAATATTTTATGCTATTCTAATTGGTATAACATAAACAGAAGGTAGTTTAATCAAATTTTGAATCTAAGACACTAAAACCTTATGTCATGCAGTAAAGGGTACCCGGGGTAATAGGGTTAAGTTTTGTCAAGAGCAAAAAAAAAAAACACCCAGGCATGTACTATTATATTTTTTGTTTTTCATGCGGATTCTTTATTTATTATTGTAAAGTAAGTAAAATGTAAAAATTAGTGACTTTTTAGGTTACATAAGGTTAGATTAGGTAACATGAATAATATTAATAAAAAATTTTCATGCAACTCCAGAGTAGCCCTTGCATTTCGTAATTCAATAGGGTAACAAGAGCTAGATATTCGCCAACTGATTTACAACTTGTATAGGGGGAATATTAGTTAGACACAGTTCAATGAGCAATAAAACAATAAAATATAAGTAGAAACACATGTATACTGTTATGAGTTTAAAGCTATTTGGGACAAGCAAATGCAGTTTCATATTACAATTTGAATTCATTCTAGAAATAAAAAATGGTAATTTAGATTTATTTCCAATATGTTACATTACCTCCTCTCTCATAAATAGCTATTCTCGTTCAGTGCTGCCCTCTATATTCAAAAATTGTTTTCACGTGCCACAAGCCTTGTGCTCTCACGTACCTTATAATCAAAAAGTTGAACTGCATCTCGCATGTAAGTCATCATGCAACATCCCTGATCAATAGGAGTGTAGTGCAGACACCTGACACTCCCTTTATTCAATCCTACCAAACTTCCACTTCTTGTTTGGTAATACTCGTGTCAAGACATTTTTTGGTTGTGCTCTTCAATCGTGTTTTTTCGTTCAACATAGTGCCATTTTTATATTAATTCCAAGGTGGATTTGTTTTGTTTTTTCTCAAAAGTTAATGGTTTTTCTGATAACTTATTTTCCCACTTTTCAATTTATTTTTCATCAAATGGTTGTGTTTGATTATTCACTGTTACACAATGAATTCCAAAGTACAAGTTACCACTTTGAAGGTCATACCTTCTACTAGCACACTCACACAGGCTACAGTTAGGGGTAACTCCTCTATGGATTTATCAGCTCTCATTCATTGTGAAATTGATCATTATAGGAGTCTACCTGCTTTTCCTGATATTGCCCCTGTTTGGTTGGACAAGATTTTGACACCCTTTTTCTTCCACCTGATCTTGCAATGTCGTCCTATGCCCCACCACGGAATCAGTTAGGCCTAATATGGCTTTTTTTAGATGTGAGTTCTCGGGTATGTTCTGTTTTATCCATTTCCCTGATTTCATATGATCCCCTTCTTTCTTACGTAATACTTCCTCCTCTCATTATTTTGTTTTTCCCCTTCTCCGAATAGTAGGGCTTGTGCAGAGCATTTTGTCTCTCAGGTGGTTGATTGTGCTAGCATGCCTCACTCTACATGGTCTTTGGGTCAGTTTGCTTTGGCCTACAATCAGACTGACTGTTTGTTTCTCGATTCTCAATGGTTGGAATCGATTTTGCCCATGTGAGGGGTGGAACCTGATCATACTGTTTGTTTATCCCATGCCCAATTTTCCCACCTTTGTCTTACTATATTAACTCTTCTTGTCTAACATCCACCTCTTTTCCAAGGCAATCCACTGATGTCCTCAGGGTTTTTTGAGGAAAAGCCTCTCCCTGATTATCTCCACATTGGCATATTTGCTTTCATCGACTCTTTTCTTACACACATAGATTCTCTGTTGTTGGGATCTCCTATGGAGGGATGCTGTTTTGTCCCAGGTATGTTTACCTCCAACTTATCTCCAGGACTTGTATATGGCCCATTTTCTACAGCGATATGTTTTCAGTAATATTCTTGCGACTTTGGAATCTCATGTGGAATCAGTGAGATAATAAATGACACTTTCTTCTTGGATCATTTGTCTCATTCAGAGCCTAGGAAAGCCCCTATTACTGTTTCCATCCTGCTCCTTCCCAGCCCTTACTACTTCCTACCTCCAAGGGTTACTCCTCTTGTGGTATTAATCGATGCAGATAGACATGTCACCAACAGTATCAGTGACTACCTGGTGAATTCCAGTTCAATGGGGACTTGCTTGACTGATTTTATTCCCCTTTCGCAACTTTACAGCACAGATCTGTGGGCTATTCGGGTATTATCTGAGGGACTTCTCATCCACTTCCTTTCCCCTCCTCCATTGTTTTGGATACCCGTATCCTTTCCATTGCCTCAGGATCCTTCCACCAGTCAATGTCTGTCCAAGCAGTACAAGATCTCTCCCAGACTGCAAACGAACCTGTCACTCATCCTTCTCCAGGTTTTTATTCCATGCTGTCTGTGTTACCCAAGAAAACCAGAGACTGGTGGCCTGTGATCAAATTTTCCCACCTCAACCAATTTTTGTTTCAACCTTGATTTACCAAGGAGTCTTTTCTCACCCTCACGTGGGCATTTGTAAATGACCAAGAAAGACTTTATGAATGTTTACCTTCATGTACCAATATCTTGTCTGTCGAGGCAATATCTTTGGTGTGTTCATCATGGGGTATTTTATCAGTTTAGAGCCCTGCCCTTCAGGCTTGCTTCAACACTGTACGTCTTTTGTCGGGTGGTCAAGGCTTTTGCCTGACATTTGCATGCTCAGGGGTTGTGCTTACATCATTACATGGACAACTGGCTCCTGGAGGCAGCTCTTGTGGGTTGATTAATCAAATTGGAAAAGTCATTCCTTATATCTACCCAATACCTTGTCCACTTGGGTGTCTTTTTCAACACTATCTCAGTCAGACCCAACCTTCTCATCTTTGATTTCATTCAATGGATCTTTCAGTTCTCCATGCCCTTACTGCTCCCTCTCTTACAGCTTGCAAGGTTCTATCGATTTTGAAGATGTGATCTTCTATGGAAGCCCTTATCCCCTTGGGTCGAATGAATATAAGGTCTCTTCAGTGGACTCTGCACGACCATTGAAATCTTGTAAGGAATACATTAGAAGCTCCTATTTTCCTTCCTCCTTCTCTTGTTGGCGATCTGCTTTGGTGGTTGGACAGGGCTCACAAGTCGGTGGGTGTTCCTCTTCCTCCCCCTCAGAGCTGAGGAGCATGAGTCGATCAGCAGGAATCTTCAGGTCAATGATCTCTGGCCATACATTGTGC